CGACCCCCCCCTCCCACCATCCTCTTGTACCTGCCATCTCAACAGGGCCTGCGCATCATCCCCTCCTCGCCCTCGCCATCAACGTCGTCTACGCGTCACCCCCCTTCGCCTTTGTCATCGCCTTCGGCGTCGTCGTCGTCATCCTCGGGGGGACCTGTCCCCAGCCAATCCAACCGTTTCGCCTCCATCGGGGAGGCCAACGTGGCGTCGTGCGAGAAAGTGACCCCGCACTTAGACGCCCAATCGGGGATGTACACAGGTGGGGGGGCGAAGGTTGGAGGCGGTCTCCCCAACTTGTCCGTCATGACCTGCGCGGATTGCGTGATGTGTTGGCGGGCGTCGAACTGACGGTTCATGGACGCCAGCAGCGTCGTCTTCGCCGTCAGTTGAACGAAAACCGAAGCGTCGTAATGCGATCTCGGATCGTCCCTCGCCATTCGCATAATCCTCATCGTGGCGGCGAGCAAATACCTCATCGCCTCTGCCATCCCCTTCAGACGCTCGTACGACTCTCGACCGCCGTCCATAGCTTCTATCATGCCAACTGCGCTTGTGAAATCCCGCACAAGACGCTGGACACAAGCTTCCTGGTAAGCCGCGCACTCATCGTCCTCGTGCCTGTCCACTATGTTCACGCCCATGAACCACAAAGGCAACTTCATGTCTGCGTTCAATGTGGTGCGGAACAACATTGGGCTCACCAAACTGCGCCAGTCCTCTGCTGACCACATTGCTCTAGCGATGTCCGTGGTAGCATGATTCAACGCGTATTGGTATGCCATGTGATACCCCCTTTGCCTGCTCTCCGACTTGAAGACCCAACCGTGGATCGCCTTGAGGGAGATTGTCTGCACTTTCAACGCCCTCTCTTTCACCACGTTGAGCTCCGACTCGTCCTCGATTTTGTGTTGGGGGATGGAGTTGTGTAAAAGGGAGATGCTCCGTCGAATAGTCGGAGACTGCACTCCCCGCGCCACGGCCACGAGATACGCGCGCGCTTCTTGGATTATCCTCACTACGGCGCTCCCCTGCGTGTCGTTCCACAATCTGTTGTCATCCTCCCAAAGTTTGGCGGCGGCATCCATCGCATGTGTCGCCACTCGTTGCCCGCGCAGCCTGTGCACCAGAGCCTCGTCGTCTTCCCCGCCCGCCGCGCCATCTCCTCCCTTCGGGACTTCAACCGCCTCTCCCGGGACTGCCACAGTGCCGCCGTGCGCCGCCACCGCGGGAGTTGCGACATCCCACCTTCAACCGCTGCTTGGGAACCCCCCGCCACGTCTGCAGCCGGGGTTCGGGGGCGATTCACTGGCGCAAGCATGCGTTGCGCAGTCTTATGCGATGCGGCCCCTTCCTTCGCACAGCCAACGACGTCCCTCCTTGCGACGTCGCGCGCCATCGTCGCGTGCCACGTCGACGAAGACTAGTTGGTTGGCCGCGGCAACGCCACCGCCGCGCCGTGCGGTCGGTGTCCCTTCCCCCCCCTCGTTTATTCTAATCCCCCCCGCGGAACCGACCCTTGCCTTCCTCGGCAATGGTTCATCGTCGTCATCTTCAAAGTCGTCGTCGTCGTTCGTCATCTCTTCCTCCACCACAGCCTCCTCCACAACATCTCGTGCACTGCCAGCGGCCACGGCTTGGACGCCCTTCCTCTGCCTCTTCGCTTGATGACGTCCCTTCTTCGCGGGGGTCGCGCCTTCAACGATCTGCTTCAAGGCAGCCTTCGCCCGTCCACCTCCGTAGGAAGACATGGCGGATCCGACAAAAGCGCCTTCGATCGCGGTCGGTAGTTCGCAGAACCTGCGGACGAGTACACCGCTAGGCGGCTGGATGATCGCAGGGCGGCGAGAATGGAAGACAAAATGGAACGGACGGCTATGAGTACACGGACGGATTACAGGGTGGCGAATGACGGTCAGGGCGACGACGAATGACTGAAAGGCCGACGGCGACGAATGGCGGATGGACGTTGACGGCGGCAAGGACGGCGACGACGAACGACGGCAGGTGATGACGGGGCGACGACGACGAATGGCGCCAAGACGATTGGCCGACGGCAGAGATGGTAGACGGCGCGCGTCGCAGATGGTGACGTGGTCGACGACGACAGTGGCCGTTAACGAAGTTGCGCGGTGGGAGCAGGCGACGGCACAACAGTGCGCGAAAGGCATACAAGAGCGCAGCGAGAAAGCAGTCCACTACAGTGCTCGCAATCCATGCGCGCGCTCGAAATGCGTTTGGGGATGAGTGGCCCGTGCTCGTGATTTATTGAGCGTGGTGGACGGTGGCTGGGAGTGATGCGACG